CTGTCTCGTTGACTCTGTGGATGAAATACGAAATTTCCGGGAACGCCTATTTAACTGTTGCCCAAATTTGTTTTTACTTGTGGGAAGGTTGCTCTCCCGCAAAACGGAGCACTATCCCGTCAATGGCTTATCACAAGATTCAAGCTAAAAGACTTGTTAACCGCTAACTGGAATTGCGTTATTGACCAACAGGATTGCTGATGGTTATAGGCTGGAGTGTTGGCATGGTAGGGGGAAGATGCAAATACTTTGACACCTTAAAGAAGACAGCCTAAAACAGACACACAAATGCATTTAATAGCAAAATTACCCCTATGACATTATTAGTGAACGCTCTCATCTATTGGAGTCCTTTCCGAGTGGGACCTTCAGCCAGTAATCAAATGGTTATCAAAACATTTCAACGATAATCTACATCTATACTATAATGTATATCGTCTCTAATCGTTAAGCTAAGGTTCTACTCATTTGCTGGTAGAAAAGTAGTGCTGCTTGCTGAAAAGAAATTGAGATTGAGTGCAATACACATGCGCAATGACTTTTTATTATATACGAATTAAAAAATTCCAAATTTGATGAATATTCCTGTACTGTTCTACCAAGAAAGCAGCGTGTGTTCCATTCTTCGTTCCATTCAACGTTTTCATTTCAAGATAAAATTATACCGACATTATTTAGGAGCTCATCAATTCGACTGTTCGAGTCCCCGATTCCTGTTGGGGACTCAGAATTTTTCTTTGTGCCACGCTCGTGTCATGATGATCAATTCACCTTTCACACTTCATTACCGAGCTTAAAATTCACCATCTTAAGTCACTTATCAATTCATTTCAAGTTATTTCATTTTTTTTTCTATAGACGCTGTCTTGCAGAGAAATAATGTGTCCCTCCCGTACTTTATCTTCAAGTGCCTAGTATTTAATATAGATATAGAACACTGGCATTTGAATAATAGTGAGAAAATAGGACAATCCCACTTTGATCTATGTTGACATAATCTTCGAACATTGAAATACTAA